CTATCCTAACTATAAGATAAGGCCAGAGACTAACGAAAGTATTTAGAAAATTGGGCAGACTAGATGGGCCGAATGGTTCTTATCTGCCGTCATATTCTATGTTTGAACACGTGCAGAACAGCTATCAGGGGGTGACAACCATGCCGGTTGTCACTAGCCCGGTGGCCCTGGGGGGCCCCACGTGTTGCGGCGGAACTGCCGCCGGTGCAGCTGCACCTGGCCCTGCACGCACTTGGGCCACCCGATGGGCCCTATATCTTCAGGGACAAGGGCGGGCTGGGCCGGGGTGCAGGGAGGCAATTGCCCCCCAGGCCGCCCTTTAAATGTTAAGAGCCTCAGGTGGCTGCAGTTGCTTCTCTCCTCCCCTTCCTTCCCTTTCCCTCCCCTGTAGCGTGGCCAAGCTCCTCTCCGGTCCGCGGTGCCTGGCCGGAGTGATAGGAAGGTCCACACTCAGTGTGCACTTCCTGTCAGTTCAGCCGGGTACAGGAAACAGAAACTCCTGTTCTGCGTGGAGTTTCTGTTTCCTGTACCCGGCCGGACTGAAAGGAAGTGCACACTCAGTGTACACCTTCCTATCAGTCTGGCCGGGCACTGCGGACCAGAGAGGAACTCGGCCACGCTACAGGGAAGGAGGGGAGGAGGGGTAAGAAGAAGGAGGAGAGGGGGGGTTAAGAAGAAGGTGAGGGGAGTAAGAAGAGGGAGGGAGAGTAAGAAGAGTGGGGAGTAAGAAGAGTGGGGAGTAAGAAGAGTGGGGAGTAAGAAGGAGGGGAGATAAGAAGGAGGGGAGATAAGAAAAAGAGGGGGATAAGAAGAAGAAGGGGGGTAAGAAAAAGAAGGGGGAGTAAGAAAAAGAGGGGGGAGTAAGAAGAAGAAGGGGGAAAGAAAAAGAGGGGGATAAGAAGAAGAGGGGGGAGTAAGAAGAAGAGGGGGTAAGAAGAAGAAGGGGGAGTAAGAAACATAGATTCACACAATGCATCCCTTACACACAACCAGAAACACATAATACATCCCTTATACACAAATACACACTGCTTCCACTACACACAAACACACTGCATCACCTATACAAACGGGTATCCCTATACACTACATACCATAAGCACACATATTAGATCCTCTACAATAACACATAACACATCCCCTACACACTCCACTCCCTGTGTTCAAACTCATGGGTGGGTGGAACATAAAAGTGGACTTATGAGTGGGCCTTATGGGCATACTCACCGTCAGGCCCTGGGGCCCAGACCTTGAGCTGTGTAAGGGGCCCCCAAAAAATGGAGCTGCCCCACCTCCTGCAACATTGAATTTTATGACCAGCAGCAAGAAGAAGGTGAGCAAGAAGAAGGAGGGGAGATAGCCGAAGAGGGGGAGTAAGAAGAAGAGTGGTGGCGGAAGAAGGCAAGAAAGAGGGGGGGGTAAGAAGAAGGGGAGTAAGAAGCAAAGAGGGGCAGTAAGAAGGAGGGAGGATAAGAAAGAGGGGCATAAGAAATAGCTGAAGGGAGTAAGAAGAAGAAGGGGAGCAAAGAGGGGAGGCGAAGAAGAGGGGGGTAAGAAGAAGAAGAAGGGGAGCAAAGAAGTAGCTGGGAGTAAGAAGAAGGAGGGGAGATAAGAAAGAGGGGTAAGAAGAGGCAAGAAAAGAGGGGGTAAGAAAGAGGGGGGAGTAAGAAGAAGAGTGGGGAGTAAGAAGAAGAAGAGGAGGTAAGAAGCTAGAAGGTGGGTAAGAAGAAGAGGGGTAAGAAGAAGAGGGGGTGCAGCGACGTGATAAATAAAGAAGAATGGGGCATTAACAAGGCTGAAGGGGGAGTAAGAAGAAGGGGGGAGCAATAAGAAGAAGGGGAGAGAAAGAAGAAGGGGTATAAGAAGAACAGGTGGGGGAGTAAGAAGAACAAGGGGGAAGTAAGAAGAACACAGGGAGGAGGGGGTAAGAAGAACACGGGGGTGAGGAGAACACATGGAGGGGGGAGTGACAAGAACACAGGGAATGTGGTGGGGGGGATGAGAAGAGCACGGGGAGGGTGGGTGAGTGTGAGAAGAGACCGCTAGGGGAGGGTGGGGGAGAGGAGAGACCACTAAGGGGCAGGGGAGAGCTCTATAGGACAGGGGGCAAGACAGGGAGCTCTTTCACACTACGCGCACACACACACAATGCATCCCTATACATACACAGAAACACACAATGCATCCCTACACACACAGAAACACAACATGCCTCCCTTACACACAGAGAAACACACAATGCATCCATTACACACACACACACACACACGCAACCCTTACACAAAGACAATGCATCCTTTGCACACATACACAGAAACAGATACAATGCAAACTGCACACATATGCAAACACACACACTTTCTTACATACAATACGTAAAACACAATGCATCTCTACAGACCCACGCACACACATACAGACACACACCCGCAAACCCTTATGTACAAACACAGATTCACACAATGCATCCCTTTACACACAACCAGAAAACACATAATACATCCCTTATACAATAAATACACACCGCTCACCACACAAACATTTCACCGGGACATCAACACCAAAATAAATCCAGTAAACCCTATACACCAGCATACCATAAGCACACATTAGATCCCCTACACAACACATAACACATCCCCACACACCCACTCCCCGTGAGAACTCATGGTGGGTGGAACTTATGAGTGGGCCTTATGGGCATACTCACCGTCAGGCCCTGGGGCCCAGACCTTGAGCTGTGTAAGGGGCCCCAAAAAATGGAGCTGCTTCCAATTCTCCCAGAACATTGAATTTTGTGACCACAGCCGCAAACAGCCTCCAGAGATCCTGTTCTACACCAGAACAGTGGAGCCAAACTGCAGCCCATCATCATCCTCATCTGCTTGTAAGTAGGCAAGCTAGTATATTATTAGTGACACTAATCTATAATGTACCTCACATTGAAGGGACACTATAGCTTAATGAAGTGGTTCTGGTGTCTATAGCTGGTCCCTGCAGGCTTTTTAATGTAAACACACACTGTGTGCAGCACTGGCGTTAGTTCATATGGGTGGGGCATTGTGATGTCACATGGGGGGGCAGCACATTTTTATTTTGTCTAGGGCGGCAAAAATCCTTGCACCGGCTCTGATCCTGGCAGGTGCACCAGTCTACTGGTGACCCACAGGAGGGGAGTGCACTGATTGCACTGCACTCTCCTCCTGTCCAGCCCCATCTTTACCGCAGTGCAAGTACCCTCTGCCCCTAATTTACAGTGGCTCACACTCACAACAAGCAGTGCCTGGAGCCGTGAAGGAGCCGGTATGGCAAAGAGCTACTGATTAGCATAACATCAATATCCGTTATAAAACCAGGAAAAGGTGGGCATGGATGGTGAACTGATTTGGTGGTGCAATGGGCCACTTGACTGGTTTTGCCCCCCAGACCTAAGGCTGCCAGCCCTCCCCTGCACAACATCCATAAGTTAGCACCAGTCGGTTGTGGTGTGCCGGAACCAACAAAGCAGTAGGCCTGTAATAAAAGTGGGCCCACCTTAGAGGGTGTTATAAATAGAGGGAGTGGTGGGAGGGATGACTCGCCAGACCAGCAATGGTGAGGTGGGAGTGGATTGGCAGCATTTTTAAAGGGGAACCAAGCCCTTCCCACAACTACAGGCCAAGCCTTCAAATTTGTAGTCATGGCAATATGGCCGAACAGAGAAATCTTAGCATAATATAATCATAACATCCATAAGTTAGCACCAGTCAGTTGTTGTGTGCCGGAACTGACAAAGCAGTAGGCCTGTAATAAAAGTGGGCAAAAAGAAAATTACCAGGAAACATAATTCGTGAACCAACTTCGTTTATTGAGATAAGTCACAAAAAGCTTGTCTTAATTCTTTAACGGGATTAGGTATGTAGAGTGTGTAGGCAGAGGATTTCCAGCGTCCCATAGCCTTAATAATATGAGCGGGTATGTGGTTAGCGGATGCTGAAGATGCTGCCCCTATCCGGAAAGAGTGACCTGAAAATTGATTGAGGTTTAGGCCGAGCCTGGTCCACAGTAGTCGTATGTAGAGCATGAAT